TTTCGAACAGCCACAGTGGTTTGTCTATAAGGCTGTAGCTTCAGGTAAACCCAATCCCCTTCGGCAAATGCCCTGTCGGTCCTGTGCCTGTCTGCAAATTGTTTCATACGGTTCTGAGCATGCAGCAGATTTTCCTTCAATAGGGAATTCCAATTCACTCTCTCAGATAACCAGTCTTCCACAGCAGCTACTTGGGTGTTGTCTGGTTGTAGGCAGAGCTGTGTTGGTTTATAACCATAGAGTGCTTGGAAGGGTGTCATCTGTAAACTAGAATGGAAATTGGTGTTGTACCACCACTCAGCTGCAGGCAAACATCTCTTCCAGTGGCCAGACTGTTGTAAACACATAGCCCTCAAGTAAGTTTCCAGACATCGATTTACTCGCTCAGTCTGTCCATCAGATTGGGGATGATATGAAGATGAGAAACTAAGGGTAGTTCCCACCTGATGAAAAAGCTCCTGCCAGAACAAACTGGTGAAAACCTTGTCCCTATCAGAAACAATATCCACTGGCAATCCATGCAGTTTATAGATCTGTTCGAAGAACACTAGTGCGACACTCTTTGCTGTGAAATGAGACCCCATGGATATGAAATGTGCATATTTGGTAAACCTATCCACCACCACCATGATGACCTCATGTCCCAAGGATTTTGGCAAGCCTTCGATGAAATCCATTGAGATATGTTGCCAAGCTTGTTCTGGTATTGTGAGAGGCTGTAGTAAGCCTGGGTAACTAACTTGCTCATTTTTGCTTCTCTTGCAAATGTCACAAGCCTGAACATATGCTTCTACTTCCTTTTTCATCCCTGGCCAAAAGAAATAACTCTTCAACCTTTGGTATGTTCCCTGAATGCCCGAGTGACCTCCAATTGCAGAATCATGCATACAACTAACAAGTTGCTTCCTAAGATCAGTGGTAACTCCAATGTATACCCGCCCCTTGTACCTGATAATCCCCTGAAGGTAGGAGTAATCAGGTGTACTAGAGCCTTCGATTGCGAGAGCTGTTAATATTTCTTTGATCTTGTCATCTCCCGAGTAACTCTTTGATACCTTGGACAGCCATAGAGGTTTGATTGCAGATATAGAGTGAATTTCCTTGTCACCTTCCTGCTTGCTTCTTCCTGTAGTACCTCCTTGCCTTCTAGAAAGAGCATCTGCGACTATATTATCCTTACCTTTCTTGTATTGGATTTCATAGTCCAATCCCATCAATTTAGCAAGCCATTTCTGCTGTAGGGAAGTAGTGATCTTTTGTTCCAGCAAATATTTCAGACTTTCATGGTCGGTTCTGATGATGAAATAAGATCCCAATAAGTAATGCCTCCATTTTCCCACAGCAGTGATTAGAGATAGCAATTCTTTTTCATAAATGGATAGTGACTGATTTTTTGTTCCTAAAACTTGACTCATAAATGCTAGTGGTCTCCCTTGCTGCATCAGGACTGCCCCCATGGCTGTTTGACTTGCATCCGTTTCTAGTACAAAGGGCAAGGAGAAGTTGGGTAAAGCCAGTACAGGAGCCTGTGTCATAGCCACCTTGAGCTGCTCAAAAGCTGATGTAGCTGCCTCATTCCAGACGAAACTATCCTTTTTAAGCAACTCAGTTAGGGGCTTTGCTATTTTTCCATAGCCCTTAACAAACCTCCTGTAGTAACCAGTCAATCCAAGGAATCCTCTAAGAGCCTTAATGTTACCAGGAACTGGCCAGGACAACATTGCCTCTACTTTTGTAGGATCAGCAGAAACACCCTCAGCCGTAACTACATGTCCCAAATACTCAATTTTATCTTGACCAAAAGAACATTTAGACATCTTAGCATATAAGAAATGGGTTCTCAAGGTTTTAAGGACAAGGGATAGGTGTTTAAGATGGCTATTCAGGTCTGGACTATAAACAAGGATATCATCAAAAAATACAAGCACAAATTTTCTGATGAAAGGTTCGAATATGGAATTCATTAAAGCCTGAAATGTTGCAGGAGCATTGGTGAGGCCAAAAGGCATCACTAGGTATTCATAAAGGCCAGAGTGAGTTCTAAAAGCTGTTTTAGGAACATCAGAGGGAGTCATACGAATTTGATGGTAACCTGACCGTAAATCTAGTTTAGAAAATATCCTTGCATTGTGTAGTTCATCAAGCAGGTCATCGATGATAGGAATGGGAAATTTATCTTTGATGGTAAGGTTGTTGAGCTGCCTATAGTCAATGCACAACCTCCAGCTTCCATCCTTTTTTTTGACTAGGAGAGCTGGAGATGCAAAGGGGCTGTGGCTGGGTTGTATGATACCAGATTGCAGCAGGTCTTTGACCTGCCTTTCTATTTCTGATTTCTGCATGTGAGGATATCTGTAGGGATTAATTTTGAAGGGTTTGGCATCAGGCATGAGGGGTATTTGGTGGTCTAGTTCTCTGACAGGGGGTAAAGACGTAGGTTCCGTAAAAATGTCCTGGTATTGGTCAAGCAATTGAGTAATAGATTTGGGTACAGGAGTTACCTGACTGTGCTGTACTCTGATCATGCAAGAGTGCTGCAAAGAAGTCCTGATTTTGTTCCTGATATACTTTTGTGCTGCTGTCCCCTGCCTCATCCTCACCTTGGCCGTGTGTGCATCCCCTTGCAGCAACACAGTTTCACCTTCCTTATCAAAGGATAATGTCAGCTCCTTAAAGTCAAAAGTCATTGGACTGTAATGTTTCATCCAATCTACCCCGAGGATTAAATCATACGGCTCTAAGTCTAACACATATACATTCTGAGTGAAGTTGTGACCCTGCATATCCCATTTCATATTTGGAATCCACTGATTGCACGTTAACTCCTTTCCATCAGCTATCCTTACCTTGAAAGGCTTATGATTCTGCACACAATCCGGATGTAGTTGAGCAATGGCTGGTTTAATAAAACAGTTGGTACTTCCCCCATCTAACAGAACGGATAAATCATGCCCCTTAAAGTGTCCTAGCATCTTAATGGTATTGGAAGACATGTGTCCTGAGACAGAGTGTAGTGAGAAAGCTACATCTCTGCCCGACTTGTTCCCTTGATACTCAATAATTTCTCCTTCTTCTTCGTTGACTTCAGTGTCCAGCAATCCTTCTTCATCTGCGAGCACTAAATGTATACCTCTATTCTTACAGATGTGTCCAGGGGAAAATCTTTCCCCACATCTGAAGCAGAGGTTGTGATCCTTCCTATACTGAAATTCTGTAGGAGAGATTCTCTTATAGCCTTGAGGAGAATCCTTCTTAATATTGTTTTCAAACACCTGAGCTGCAGGTTTCTTGTGGCTCAGATCATTAAGGTGAGTTTGTCTGCTACTAGAGGAAATTGGTGGAGATACCTTCACTGGTGTTTTATTCTGCTTTAAGATGATACTCAAATACTGCTCTTGCCACCTAGCCTTTTCGAATGCTGCCTGCAAAGTCTGAGGCATGTGCATCTTCACAGCAGCCTTGATCTCCTCCTTTAGCCCACTCAAAAAACTAGAAACATAATAGGACTCAGAAAGGAGAGGGAGCTTCACCATGACGGCAGCTCTTAATTCTTCAAATTTTTCCTGATATGCCAGCAATGATGAATCCTGGTACAACTTGTTGAACTCCTCAACCACGTCATCTCCTCCTATATCCCCGAATCGTCTGCAAAGTTCTGAGGCAAACTCTTCCCACTGCACTACTCCTCGATCCTTCTTAAAGCTTTGATACCATAGGTCAGCCTTGCCTTCCAGATGCAGTTCAGCTACATCCAATTGCTGACCCTCTGGAATCTGGTATAGTTGAAAAAACTTCGCACATTTCCGGGTCCATTCGCGAGGATTGGAGCCTCCAAAGCTGGGGAATTCCAATTTGGGAACTCCGATTGCGAAACGACTCTTCTCTCCCAACAAGGGATTGCTTCCTTCTGGACCTTTCCTAAGTGTTTGATGAAGTTGGCGCTCAGATGAATTAGGAGATTGGCCTAGAATTCCTTTTTCTCCCTGCAGGTTCCGCATGAAGCTATTGAACTGAGCACTCATCGTGACCATGAAATTCTTCATTTCTTCCTTTAGTTCAACATTGTTTGCTTCCACCAGAGCCTTCATATCCACGTAGTTAGATTCCATCTTTTCTTCCAAGGCTTGGCGTTCGATTGTACTGGATTCGAGGATAGCTTGGATTTTCGCATCTTGCTTCTTTAGCGATTCCTCAAATCCCTTCATTCTGGTGCCTTCCGCCATTGTTGCTTAAATTGGAGCTTGCAATTCCGAGGAACGCAAGCTCTGATACCAAGTGTAATGGTTGGGGATTGGGGGATTGGTTGACTCAGCTAAGGAACTGAAGTATAGAAGGAGATGGAGAGAAGGGTTGAGAGAAAAAGGGGAGAAGCAGACTGAATAGAAGAAGCGGGAAAGTTGTATTCTCAATGATCAAATATTGCTTAACGCTTTACATTAGCATTGGCCTATTAATAGAAAGCTTCCTCACTAACTAATCAATAACCAACTTCTGCAAGTGGTAGCTGTTATAACAATTTCCGCAAGGTAGTATTTGGCTAACAGAATTTGGTTAACTATTTGGTCTTATTTCCTGCGGAATCATTACATATTCACGAGCAATCAAATGTTTGGTCGACTCGTAGTTAAAAATCACCTATAATAAAAACTCATGGCTTAAATGTTGAAATTGTTAATTTTTTGTTGCTATATATGCTTTTTTTTTTTTGGAAGGTAGTATTTCAAGATGTAACCTATATTTGAACTTATACTTCTTATTAAGATGTACCATGTGAAACAATTCTCGTTGAAATTTAAACTATTTGTAAACATAGAAGATATCTTCCATCTGTAAACAATAAGAGTTTCTACCAAAAAAAAAAATTAAAATATTGGAGTTTAAGCATAGCCATAGATAGATAATTGACCAAGAACGGCTCCATGCCTACCCTTACATAAAATAAGTTCGGAGGACAAGATTCTTCTATGAAATACTATGAAATGCCTAGATAAGATCTGCATTTAATGCTTCATATCCTTTAGATGTTTTGCAATAACCACAGTAATATCGCCAAGATCTTGAAACTTTTTTCCGGCCTCTTTAAGTTGGATTGGTTCATCCAGACCCTTTTCTACAAATCCTGTCTCACAATTACTTTCAAGTACCTGGTTATTGACTGCAATTTTATAGAGCCCATCATAGTCACGAGCAATCAAGGAGTTGTTGGCTTTTCCAATGCCTCTAATACTCAGTTCATAAGCATACAAGCACAAGTCTAATTCATGCAGGATCATGGGATCTGATTCATTTCTTTTAAGTGAGCCGATCAAGTTGTATGTTGACTTGGCATCAGCATTTGACACAGCTATTGAAGCTTGGCAAAGAATCTGAAAATCTAAGCCTTCGGAGGGTAGAGGATATGATCTTAAAGCTTCTTGACAAAGCGATTCATTTGTTGTCTGAAAGCAAACGACATAGATCAAGGCATCTGGAGGCTCGTTGGTGGTAGCCGCCAATGCTGGAACGCTACACTTCTGAAAAAGAAGTGAAAGGAAAATTGATAATGATAAGGACAAGTTCATCTCCCCCCTTTTTTTTTAAATATGATCAGGCATAATTTTGCTAAAACGATTGGTACTCTTTATAGTGCGTATGAACACAAGCAGGACAAAAACTGCAATTTTAGCTGTTTGGAAATTTAAGCGACAGCAAGGAAATATTAATGACAATTGGCAAGTATTATTGGATAACTCCTTACTAAAATGTGCATTTTTTTTTTCAACACGATAGATTCTATTCTACATCTATTTCTACTCTATATTAAAGGGACGGGAAACATAAAGAGGTCAAGGGGAACCCGGTGAACCACCACCGATCCAGATGAGTGTTTACGCACCCGTTGACAAAATTTTCCAAGAGAGCCTGGATCTTAGAATGTAGGCCAAACAATTTGATCTCTTGACTTACACCCAAATAGAGTTTTAAAACTTTCTTGGTGGCCACTCTAGTAGTTGGTTAAGTAAACTTTGCAATCGCGAGGGCATTTTTTATTTTCAAAATTTTTTATTTTTAGATGAACATGGAGATAAAAGAACTAAAATAAAAATTTTTTATTAAATTTGAGATACGAAATATATGACAAAACTAAATGAAATAAAAACAGTTACTCTCGCATAAAACAATGATCATTAGTTGTCAACAAATCTTAATCCAATGATGGAAAAGCATCATGTGAGAAAAGTAAATATATTGGGGAGGATATTAATATTCGATTGTTTCCTAAAAAATATAAAAAAAATAAAAAGAAAATTCCTTTAAAGGAATAAAAACAAAAAGATATCCACATAAATAGCATCTGGTCATGATTGTAAAAGGACTATAAAAAGAAAACCAAGCACTTTTCCAAATCTATGCTTATGTCAAAAAAAAATTTTGGCCTGTAATAAGTTGCTAAGAAATTAGTATATAAAGGAGAAAACATAATGAGTAATGAAGAAATTCAAAAAATATAACTGATTATAAAACTTGAATGTATATGATAAAAATGCGGAATACCAAAAGATTAAAAAAAAATTACAATTGTCAACTTTTTAGAACTATTAACAAATAATCAAGCCAAATAATAGAAATAGCAAAAGTTGTGAGTTGATTAATAAAAAAAATCAAGGCAGAATTAATGATTTAGTAAAACCAAAATTAATAGTGTTTTAAACTATGGACGCATGGATACAAAAAAAAATTAAAGAAAGATGAATTCAATAAAAATGCATATATAGCAAGAAATCAATATATTGATTAAAATTTGTTATAAATAAGGAAGTAATGAATTATAAAAAAATAAATATTGTACAAATTTTAGTAATAGTAAGTTCTAATTTATGATCAAGCCAAATAAAATTTCAAATTCAAATTTTGCATAGTTGTCATTCATCCAACGCTGATAGTGTATACACTGTCAGTGTAGAAAAGATTAATCCATTAATTATTACCAAAAAAGTAGAAAAAGAATATAAAGCACCAAAAAAAACAAACATTACATAAGTGCACGTCATGAAAAGATAGGTGGTCTATTGACAGAAGGATAGAGTAACCAATTCATCTACTTACTAAATAGGAATTAAATAGCATTTTATTAGATATACTAGTTTTTAACCTATTCCTTGAATGAGATTAAATATAGTTTGGTAAAAATATTGGCAAATTTGAAAATTATAAACCATATTATAGGTAAACGTCAACAGTATCTTGTTCCTTTTAGGCATTGATTGACTATTGTAATGAAGATAAAGCACTTAAAAGTTGAATTACTACCAACTATAAACTGCTAAGAACCTGCCCAAATTAAATATATTAATCATAGTAATTACAAAAATTAAAGGAAAAAATCAGTGGAAAAAAGATGGGAATGATTCTTGTTAACAAATATAAAACATTTAGAAGCTGACACCCAAATAAAAACACTCAAAAAGATGACCATAATAAATATAAAATACAATTAGTATGAAAATTAAGGAGAAAAAGAGGAATTGATTCTTGTCAAAAAAAATAAAACAATTAGAAATTTAAATTATTACCAAAACTAAAACATTAAACGCTATCCACATTAAATATTAAAAACAATAAATATGGAAATTAAGGAAAAATGGGTGGAAAAAAGATGGTTTTGATTTCATTAACAAAAATATAACACTCAACAATTGACAATATAGAAATTAAGGATAAAAATGATAAAAGATGGGTTTGATTTTTTTCAAACAAAAATAGAACACTAAAAAACTAACAATATGGAAATTGAGGATAAAAGGTGAACGGAAAAAAGATAGGATTGATTCTTGTTAACAAAAATAAAACACTTAAACGCATGATATCTCTACTTGGAAGTTTGCCAGGTGTCATACGAATGAAGTGGCCTTCACTTTATGTAGAGAAATGGATAGAGGCAAATATCTAGTGCTAATTAACATCCCATGCAGTAGCTTAGGTAATTAGTACTTTCGTAGACCTTCAGAATTGCAAATTTTCGCAGTCTAGCGTAGAGTTTTATGCTAGAACTTCCGTTTTTGCAAATGTTTAGTGCTAATCAACATCCAATTTAGTGGAAAATGTTTAGCGCTAATTAACATCCAATTTAGTGGCTTAAGTAGTTTAGTGCTTTCGTAAACCTTCAAATTGCAAACTTTTCCAGTCTAGTCTAGAGTTTGACCCAGAAAAAAAAGAAGAAGAAGAAGAAAATTCCGTTTTGTAATTGCTATTAAGGTATTCAAGTTGCAGTCATAAGCAGGAGTGGAAATTCTCCTGAGATTGCCAACCAGTTCTTCTATTTTCCATGATGAATAACTGAGACTGCCAAGTGCCCGACTCAGTGACTCAGCTCCAGATAAATGCAGATTTTGCTTACCAAGACCGTTAGTTTAGTGATTAGCTATTGTTGCAATTTTATGAATGGCACCATAATTCTCTGTTCTTCCAATTGTAATTGCCATGTACATGTACAGCTTCTGGTGATAAAATCACCCTTGTTGAAATGACTGATCCAGTCCAGATATGGTCGTGTCGAAGCCATCTCATCTGAAAGTGAGCTGACAAACAATGAATTCTACTGATGCGTGTGGTTGCTCGGATTAAATTCAACAATCAAGATTCCATCTTGCTACAGAAACAATTCATTGTTTGCCAATTCTTGTTCCATGTTGATGGCTTGGCCACGCACCAGATCTGGCCTCGATCATGAGATTTTGAGGAGATTGATTTGATCACCAAATAAAGTGGTAGTACAGGGTCCCATGATCGAGTAAAACAATACATGGAAGAGGGCTAGACTTCCATTGCAAATCCACTACCAAGGACTTCTTCACAGCAGAGGCAGGATCAAGAAGTATAGTGAAACCAGGTCGCAAACTTATATATACTCATCTTGGGCAAGATATGTGCACAAATACGCACTCACGACAGATTTTTTGTTAGGCGCTAAAACTGCATAGCGGATGGATATTTGACACACACACATGGAAGGAGAGGAGGGGAGAGGAGAGGAGTTTAATAATCACAAACTTATAAAGCGTATCAAACTCTTATATAAATTCTAGACAAAATTGCCTTTACAAATGCTAAAACTCTCACGAGAATACAATACTAAAACACCTTATATCTAGCGCACAAGATTTGGTAATTAAGAAACTAAGATATGAAACTGCTAAATAATTTCTCTTCAGCTTAAACAAGTAAACTCCTAAAACTAGCTAGACTATACTTTTAACTTTTAGTATAGAAATAGGAAATAACTACTATTAGGAAGTTAGATTTAATTATGTCAAACACTCCTGAAGGCTGTCTTGGTTGGATGATTTGACCCTTGATTAATAAGCTAATTTAACTGCTTAACTCAACGCCCTTTTGGGTCTTAGACAGTCCTTCAAGACATTAAACCATAGTCTTTCAGATCTTGTATCACACTTGTTTCCCTTTTTCATTTTTTTTTTTTCAACAAACGATACCATTGTATAGATATGTATCACACTTGTTTCCCTTTTTCATGCATGACAAATTTTTTGCATCAAAACAACCAAAAATTTTATCCAAAAACAGTAGCCGAAGTGGCAGTCAATGCAATCCACTTTGTAATCAACTCTATTTAATTTGAGAAGATTTTTGTTTCTTTAACTCTAAGAAACAAGGAGATGATACTATTATGATCATTTTGCCAAGTAGAACACGTATCCACCAGAAAAAAAAAAAATCCCATGAAATATATTTAAAAAATGAACAATCTACAGATGGAACATGGTTTGGTTTCCGATTGGCCCCCTACAATTTAGAGCCTAGGATAATATGCATGGTTTTGATTACTTTGGGGGCACCGGTGCAAGATTTGTGATTATTATTCAGGCTTTTAGCCTCCACTTGACCGGAAAACAAAAATCTTGCTCTGTCTAATTTTGAACTTTTTTCCTGTGTTTACAGAATTAACTAAATGCTGTTTCAGTTTCATATTCCAGGATAAAAACTCCCCAAGGGAAACACTATAGGTCACTCGAACACCAATGGTGATGCAATTGGAGCAGAAGAAAAGATTAAAAGAAAAGAAAAGAAAAATACTACAAAGGTCAACAACAGTTATTCCTCAATTTTGAGAGATCCTTGGGCAACTTGAAAATAAAAACTAGTTTCCTTGTTCAAATGTAAAGTATTATTTTCCATTTTATCATTGTATAGTACTTCCAAACTCTTGAACCAACTTTATGGTTTAATTCAAATAATAAGCAACATCTTTGATCAATGACATGGGTCATTTTAATTGATTGAGCCTGATAAAGTTTATAATTTAAGGGCCAAGAACTTCATTAAATTTTATCCTAATGTTTGATATACCAATGCAGCCTTTTACTCCAACACAACCTGTTTCAGTTATTCTAATCAACATCTTATCAATAGTTACAAATTATAAGAACTACCATTAGAGCGGCTATATAAATTATATCTTGTTGCACGATTTCCTGCAATTGATTAATGAAATTTTCTTTTTATGAAAAAACAAAAAAAAAAATCTATGAAAACTGCCAGTGTATTCTTTCCATTTTAGTAT